ATCTGGCTCACCTGGACGGAGACATGCAACAGGACCAAATTGACGACTTCCTCAACAGCCTGCAGCCACAAGTGTAGGTGTCATTTGTGTGTGTGTGTGTGTTCTCCTCAGATGTCTGTCCATCTTGCAATAAGCTGAGTGGATGTAGGCAGTGGCAAATTAGGCTGTCTCATTAACATCTCTTATGCTTCCCGCTTGTCTCACTCTCTTTTTTTAATCAGTCTTAATTATTTATCAGATTTGAATCAGTTCCTGTTGGATCAAGCTGCTTACAATTCTTATAAAAACTCCCTATCTTCCTTTTTTGTCTGTCAAGATTGTCAGTAATCATGATCGTATGATGTCTTCAAGTATTAACAAAAACAACTTGACATTCTTGGAGCTCAAATAAGAATTACTGCCTGTTACTTTACTGCTGGATATTTTATTCTTAAATTTATCCAGGGGTTTGATTGGGTTAACATTTTGGTTTGATTGCCAAGGGATATATTTAATGAATAACAAGACAAGAATAGCACTCAGTAATACCTCCTCTGAGGCCCAACAGTCTCCGTAAATTCAACCAAGCCCCACCAAATTGTGCACAATTTGTTTTTTTCATGCTTCTAAATAACGGACACACAAACAAACAAACGCTGATGAAAACGTAACCTCCTTCGAAGATGTAACTACTCCACACTGTAGCTGCAATATGCTGACAAAATATTTCATGCAGTAATTACCCTGAACATGGCTGTCAATGTATTTGGCACAACTTTTTTGCCAGTCAATGTCAGTAACGTAAAAAGCACGGACAGTTTGAGAGCTAAGGCTGGTCCGATGGCCTCAGAGGCTGTCGGAAGATAGATACACACTCCTGTGAAAATTGTTTAATGCACTGATATCTGCATCTGACAGGGACAAGAAGAACGGTACGATTCAGGTCTCCGACTTCTACAGGGCGTGAGGAAAGCAGGACGTGAGGAAAAGACAGACAGAAAGCAGTGAGAGACAGGAAGGAACAAGTAAAATGATACTGTTCAATTAATAAATGGGCCCACTAATGCTCGTTCAAGCACAGCTGTTGGTTCATTACCTGGAAATTGGTTCCATCATTTGTTAGCATCCGGCACAGTGGGTTATTATTCATCACTGTCCAGCTGAAAGACACTGCTATTTTTGAGTTAAAATACTTTAATGAGCAGCAAGAGAGGCACAAAGCTGCCTTACACAGGCTGTCAGGTGGACTGTGTATGCTTTTTTATCGCCTGTTCCCTTATGTCTGGATTAGCCAAAGTTCATTTATCATAGGCACCACCTTTCAGCCAGCAGACTCTCCACCGGCGTATTCATTTCACTCAGCAGACAAAAAAGAGGAGAGGTAAAGAGATAAGCTCCAGGGACACAAGAATGTGATTTTCAACTCGTGTAAAAGGTCTAAAACCTCCCGTGTTGTTCACTCCTCGATGCAATACTGTAAATGGGAAAGTGCAAATGCCCACTCAGACAGATTTATTACACTTGTCACAAGACACACACGATTGCACGAGGGGCAAAGGCACAATGTGATGTTTATATTTTCTCACGAACATGTTTCTCCCTGACTGACACACACACACACACACACACACACACACACACACACACACACACACACACACACACACACAAAAGCTTACCCCTTGAAGGATTGCAGCTGTAGCCGAGTCAAAGGGGATCAGAGGACAGACAGAATCTCGGATAACCCGATGACTGCAGCCTCTCCACCCGTATGACACAGCAAAGACTGAATGTTGTCAGGGTGTAAACAGATCTACCTGTGTATGTGACAGTAGAACTTAGTTGAATAATATGTTCATAATAATTTTGTAATTTATTAACGATGTTATTAGTTTATTAAATAACACCACACAACCACAAGCTATCATTCAAAGACCATGCATGAGAATGTGCATGACCCAGTTTCTAGCAAAGTTTGATAGAAAGTTTGAACATTAAACTTTACTCATCTAATTTTCCAAGAGGTTTTAAACAAGATTAATTAAACATTAATTTTCTAAACTGAATTATAGAGGTGGAGTTTGGTTGTTTGAAAACTAAGCCCAAGGTTTTTTCTCCCTAAAAAAGTCCCTGCTCGTCTGGTACTTTCCAGTTGCCCAATCACTATTGGGATTGAGTTTAGTGCAGTATTGAACACTGTAGCGGTATGTGTACAGTACTTATTCAAACTGTCAGCAGTCCCTGATTGTTCTCTTATGAATATCATGATTATTACTTTGGAGAGCTGTCGTCCATCTATTTTTACAGTCTAGGGGTCACGTCTGTCCTGGTAGATAATTCTAATAAAGTGAATTCTAGTTCTTATCCATGTGTAAATCAGGAGATGAAGTTGGAACAAAAATCTGTTTGTCCAGCGAACAGTGGGAAACAGGGTCATGTTTTTCTTAGAGCTCCATTGTTGTTGGATATTGGTAGAAACATGATGTCACTGCAAAGGTGTTAGTGGTTAAGGAGTTTCAGCTCCAGGGTGGACCTCGTTGCACAACTTTAACAGTTTCTCTGAACTTGGCACGTAACGTCACATCTCCAGAGACCTGATGAATGTAGCGGAGCAGTGCGAAAGAGATGGGAGAAGTGAGAGTGGACACAGAGGTTCCCCTTTAGCGTTCCTCCCTGTAGCTGTTGTGTAACAGATTCAACGATAAGGACAAGGGGAAACATGATTCATCCCATATTGTGCAGTTGCAGAACACAGATGTGTACACAAATGATGTACAGTTAGTGTCCTTGCCTCTTAACCTGCCTCTTTTCTTTCTAACTATTCATGTGTTACATGTGTTGTATTGAGTTTGTGTTGAATGATTTTACTTTAATTCTTCATCTGTTTATTTATGATATATCTTGTGTTGTAATTGTTTCAGGGAGCTTCAACATGGGAGGATAAAACCTCTGGACTTCATGCATCAGGACTGAACCTCCTGACTCATCAGACCTCACCAGAGACCTGAACAAGAAAAGTGAAAGAAGGAAGAATTTCAAAATTAAAGCTGCATGTTAAACAGTCAACAGCAAAGTATGGAATGTATTGTCATTGGCACAACCCATGTTTGCCCAAAATTAATTTTAAACTGATGATTTTACGTTCAACACCCATCATCTTGATGGTACAGTGGGATGAGCAAGCAAAAACCACCATATGCCTGACAGGACAGGCACTTGTCAATCTAGCAAACACCTTCAAAGCATTTTCTTTTCTTTTAAATTCTCAAGAATCTTGTATCCCCACACACGAGGAGTTGTGAAATTAATTATTGAGACCTGAATTCCTTTTGAAAAGGAATATACAGGATGTGTATTTCAAGAGAAGTCAGTGGAGGCAGTTTGCTGCAGCCGTTAGATTTTAAGACACCTACACAGTGGCTTTACTAACATTCCAGCAAGGTTGTGTGGGTGTGTGGACTTTAATTCTTCTCCAAGGTGCCTTGGACTTTTATCATTTCGTTTCTTATGAGCATTTGCAAACTATTCTAACAATAAACTAAATTCTTACATACATGAGCACGCTTTTGAGACAGCACTTAATTAAGGGTCGTAGCAGGCTGATTAAAATGGATGAATTAACACTTAAGGATTATTGAATTTCTCACATTCAACTGAGAGCTAAAGATTTTCATTCCCTTGATTTAAGTGTCGCTGTCAACCCGCACATTGGACAATTTTATGTCTTAATTGATTAAGTAGTGATGTGGCGACTAATCAGTTCAAATTAATAGACAGGATATTAGAGGAGAAGAGGGAAAAACAAAATTTTCAAGCAAATCTTCTCAGAAATAAACAGAAACCCTCAGAACTCAGACATAAACACTGGATTTTGGTCACTTACTCAGTCACTAACAGATCAGTGCTTGTGTCATAGAGGACTCATAGACAGATCTTTGTGCAGCACCCTGCTCCAGGTATGCCACAGAAGAGACCATGGTGTGTTGGAGTGTTGTGGATGTTTGTGGTTTTAGGGGGAATACATGAGTGACTGAATGAGGGAGCCTGTCTAAACCCACTCATGAGGTACAGTACATGTGGCATAAATGAGATCTACTGAGAAGGTTCATTTTAAAAATGTTACTATTTAATGCTTATGGCTAATGCTTATGGTCAGAGAAATATTTACAACAACCAGGATAATGTCTAACGGCCGCTGTAGGTCTGGAGGTGGAGAGGGTCGTCCACTCACCAGAAGATCGTTGGTTTGATACCTGGCTCCTCCACAAAAACAATCCTCTGGCAAGATACTAAACCCCAAATTCTCCTTGATAGAAAAAGTATAGAAGCGCTGTATATTAGTTTGCAGGAAATTGTACTGTAAAAGGGTTTTGAGTGATCGATTAAACTGGAAAAGAACTATTTAAATACAGTCTGTTTACATCTCTGGGTTATTGTCGTGACTGCATGGACATTTCAAGCAATTTTTAATGAAACAGTGAACTGTTATTTCAGCTTAAACCTGTGGGGCCTTGGGTGAGAGCTGGATTTGTAAGAAACCCTCATTTCAGGTTACCGTCTGTGATGACTGTTAAACAATACTTCGTCCCAACCCAAATGAGACAGACAAGACAACAACAATCATACAAATTGCACAGTCCTGTTTTCACTGGCCAATTGAATCCGCCACAAAGGGTTTGGGTTAAAAATAGTGCTTACAGTTTGGAGTGGCATACTCTTGGTATAAGTATAGTTGTTTGAAAGAGCTGTGAATATATAATAAAATGGCATAAATCTCACATTTGCATGACGCACAACCACAGAAGGGCTCCAGTCAGCTCCCTGTGATTATCTGTCCGGGGGACTTAGATCTTGTTCTGAGTCCCAGGTTGAGCTGATGCAATTGGTTCTGCAAGTGAGGGTGTTGCAGATGCTATTTACATTGCTTCTCAGTCTCACGTGGATACACACGCACATCACAGAATATGAATCCACAGACCTACATCAATGTGAATGGACAAATTTTTTCAATTGGCTTCAGTTCACTATGATGTACAGGGGGATATTTTACTAAGGAGATATGAGAACGGGGATCAAATCTTGCATGTTAGAAGTCCTTAAATGAACTACAAACCAGCTGTGACCTCAGACCAAACACGAACATGTGAGAGGTCTTGTAGAACTTAGGAGTCATCATTTAAAATCAACTGCCTGTCTCCTTTTTGTATTAATTATTTCCTTCCATTTTGCTGGGGCTAAATAGGAGCCATTAATGCCAGTTTACGGTGTCAAATAAACCACTGCAAACACTAATGGTTGATTTTATTTCATGACACAGCTGTCAACACACATCTGCTCAACAAGGAAGAAAATAAAAACATGGCTGACTAATATTAAAGCCAAACATGCTTGGCTTTTATGGAAAGTGTTAAGTGCTTTCCAGGCTGCTTGCAGTTTTATATTAGAATGTTAATGGATTTCTGCAATTTAACTGACTCTAGTTACTCCCTCGTATCCCCCCAAAATACCAGTTAATGCCATATTTCCTTTTTACTAAGAGAGCTAATTGTTGGCTTCATGGCAGCGTTATCCCACTGAACATTTCACTGAGCAGCACTGCTGGAAACTAGCACAGCTCAGCTTTGTTAACAGAAAATATCAGTGTTACAGATGAAGGGCGTTGTCTGGATTGCATACTGCTTAGGACATGTTAGACAGGGTTCATTCCAACACATCAGATATAATTACACCATATATTCATGCAGTTAATTCTCAAAACCTTGGAAACGCTGACGTTAAATTAAATGTTTCTCTAATATTTAGGCCCATTTAGCTACAAGACATGCAATCTAATTCAAAAGCCCTGCAATGATTGCTAGTTTCAAGACAGTTAAGTTCTTGTTATTTTATAATTTTAGAGTTCTTAAAAGATGGACGACACATCTTCACTCCCTGCTGTTTTAGGAGGTCTTAAATATCCCAGATACCAGTGCTGCCATCTTGCACTTGCTTTGTGGTTTTGTCTTCCTCATATCAGTGACTCTAGGCTGTATAAGTGTATATAAAGGTGAACAGCATGACTG